CGTGCGCGTGCGCGTGCGCGTGCGCGTGCGCGTGCGCGTGCGCGTGCGCGTGCGCGTGCGCGTGCGCGTGCGCGTGCGCGTGCGCGTGCGCGTGCGCGTGCGCGTGCGCGTGCGCGTGCGCGTGCGCGTGGGCGTGCGCGTGCGCGTGCGCGTGCGCGTGCGCGTGCGCGTGCGCGTGCGCGCGTGCGTGCGTGGGCGTGCGCGTGCGTGTGTGCGCGTGCGCGTGTGCGTGGCGTGTGCGTGCGCGTGTGCGTGCGCGTGTGCGTGTGCGTGCGCGTGCGTGTGCGTGTGCGTGTGCGTGTGCGTGTGCGTGTGCGTGTGCGTGTGCGTGTGCGTGTGCGTGTGCGTGTGCGTGTGCGGGTGCGTGTGCGTGTGCGTGTGCGTGTGCGTGTGCGTGTGCGTGTGCGTGTGCGTGTGCGTGTGCGTGTGCGTGTGCGTGTGCGTGTGCGTGTGCGTGTGCGTGTGCGTGTGCGTGTGCGTGTGTGTGCGTGCGTGTGCGTGTGTGTGTGTGTGTGTGTGCGTGCGTGTGTGTGTGTTGTGTGTGTGTGTTTTTCCCACCGTGTGTTTTGTTTGTGTGTGTTTGTGTGTGTTGTTTGTGTGTGTTTTTTTTGTGTGTTTTGTGTGTTTGAGTGTTTTTCCCACAGAACGAAGAACTGTGGACCCCCCACGGGGTCCAGTCCAGACGATGACGTCGTTCGTCGACGTCGAAGCCGACGGCGTCGTCGCCGTCGTCGGCTTCGCCGAAGGGCCGAGGGGAGCAACGGCAGGAGGAGGAGGAGGAGGAGGAGGGGGAAGGGGAAAGAGGAGGGAGAGAATGACGCTGGGAAGGGAGGGGTAGGAGGAGGGGAAGGGGGACGGGAGAAAAGACGAGAGATAGGGAAAGAGAGAAAACGAACAAATGAGGACGGAGACAGGGAATCTTGGGGCGATCGACAGTCAGGGGGAGGGAGGAGGAGGAGGAGGAGGAGGAGGAGGAGGAGGAGGAAGGAGGAAAAGGGGGACGGCAGGGCCCGACCGCCCGACCCCACCCGACCCACGCGTGAGGGCCCGACGGCCCGACCCCGTCCGACCCGCCAGGGCTCTCGCGCGTCAGCTTGACGCGTGCATTACACTGTGTCCCGCCCGCCTGGCCCGACCCGACCCGACCCGGCCCGCCCGTCAGAATCCGCCCGACCCGACCCGCCCCGCCCCGCCCGAGAATCAGGACCCGCCCGCCCGACCGGACCTGGTCGACCCGATCAGGCCTGCCCGCCCGACCCGACGCGGCCCGGCGGGGCTCTCGCGCGGCAACTCGATACGTGGGCTACACTTTGTTTTTTCGCTTTTTTCGAGCGCTATTGTGGATGAGGAGGGAGGAAGAGGCGAACGTGGGCTACACTCTAATGTCCCGCCTGCACGACGCGACCCGCCCATCAGGGTCCGCCCGACCCGGCCCGACCCGCCCGATAGAACCCGAAGGAGCCAGAGAACCCGGAGAACCCGGCGATGGCGGAGAGCGCGGATTATACTCGGAGAACCCTGAGAACCCGGAAAACCCAAAGAACGCGGAGATCGCGGAGCACGCGGAAAACGCGGAGAATCTCGAGAACCCGGAGAACCCGGAAAACACGCAGAACGCGGAGGACCTCGAGAACCTTGAAAAACTGGAGAACGCGGAGAACGCGGAGCACGCGGAGAACGCGGAACACCTCGAGAACTCGGAGAACCTAAAAAACACGCAGAACGCGGAGAACCTCGAGAACCTCGAGAACCCAGAGAACCTCGAGAAGCCGGGGACCCCAGAGAATCCCAAGGGCCTGGAGAACCTCGAAAACCCAAAGGACCGGTAGAACCCCAAAAAGCTGGAGAAGCCCAAAAAACTGAGACTCTCGAGAAACCAGAAAACCCAAGGAATCCCAAGAACCCGAACCCGGAGAACCCCCCGTGAACCGGGAGACCCCGGAGAACCCAAAGAACTGAGATAACCTCGAGGACCCAGAGCACCGCTAGAGAACCCGAAGAACCTCGAGAACCTGGAGAAACCAAAGACCCCAAAGAACCGGGAGAACCCGGAAAACCCGCAGAACGCGGAGAACGCGAAGAACCCAGAGAGCCCGGAGAACCCAGACAACCCAGAGAACCTGGAGGATGCGGAAAACGCGAAGAACCCGCAGAACCCAAAGAACGCGGAGAACCTGGAAACCCCGGAAAGCTCGGAGAACCTCGAGAACCTCGAGAACCAGGAGAACGCGGAGAACCCATTGGGGAATCTCGAGAACCCGAAAACGCATGCGGAACCAGAAGAACCTGGAGAACCCGGAGACCCAAAGATTAACCTCGAGAATCCAGAGAACCTGGAGAACCCGGAGAACCCGCAGGACGCGGAGAACGTGGAAAACCT